TGAACAGTTTCACTAGAGAATAGACCTCCCGGGTCCACGGGCCAAGGGATTGTAATGAGCGACGAGGATCACACGGCTAAGTGGTGAGCCAGGCCAGCTTATTCCCCCTGGGCACGCGAAAGCTACGCGTGGGGGGACGGAGGCCCGGAAGCGGTGAACGCTAGCGGAGTGGACGTCTCGGCTCGCTGGAGAGAGGCAAGCGCACCATCTTCTCAATCTGGTGGGCCCGGCCAATCCCTGAATGCTCCTGGCCCCTGCCACGCTTGTCGACAGGCCATACCAGGGCCCGGCAACTCTCCATCAAAATTGGGGACAAATAGGTTGCTACTATAGGATGCGCTAGTGTCGCCGGATACAGCTGCTGGTAAGGCTCGCCAACTTTCGCACATAAAAATGGGTCAAGAAATACGAATACACTTTGATTGTGAGCGATTTCTGAAATAAATTAGAAAAGAAGTTAAATACTGTGTGTTGATCTTCTAAAATTCATTTACTCATAATAATACACGCATGAAAGAAAAGGTAGCGCGAACAGCGGCGCGATCTTGTGTATCAAGCGCGTGTGTTTGCGTCCCGAGGAGCCACGCAAGTTTTAAATAACGTTGGTAGCAGTTCGTGTAAAAAGGTGATGCAGCAGAGCGCGCCACCATAATGGTCCCTACCACGTTATGTGGGAGTTATAGGGCCCTGGGCCATACTTTTGTCTACACACACCGCTACTAGGCCGCCCTGTGTAGAGAGCCCATGACGGGATCTGGTGGCTGAAAGGACGAGCGACGGGGTGCGATGCGAACTCTAGCGGAGTGGACGAGTCGGCTCGCTCGGGCGAGGCAAGCGAACCACCATCTGAAACTGGTGGAGGAAGATTATCTCTAAATAGCAAACGCTGGCGATGTAGACGAGTCGGCTTATTCGGGGGCGATGGTACACTATCATCTGAAACAGGTGGGAGCTGCCCAACCCCTTAGTTGGTCATGCGTTGCAGTTTGCTGTGAACAAGCCCAAGGCTTCGTCGACGCATTCGGCTGTTAGCCAAACTCACAGACATAACGCGCTCGGATGACCGCTGCGTGCCCATCGTGGCAAATTTCCTGAAATTGGCAATGTTTTCCCGAACTAGACACTATATATTGTGGATATGGATAGCACTCTAGACTTAAAAGTAAATATTAATGTGAATGCTCTACTGAGTCTGATATTAAAATGCCATAATGTAATGATAAATGTAAATGTAATGTAAATGCTCTATAGAGCTTGCTTTATTTTGCTATTAGGTTAAAATATTGCTGTTAGCGCAACCCGAATAGCGAAAAATTTATGTTAGCCATTTAAGGTTCATTATTGTTCTTATATTTGTGTCACTGTGAATAGTGGTTTTTGTTAAAATCGTACAGGCTAAGAGAATTGTATTTTCACTCATGTAAAACAGGTAGACACATAGGTCGAACTTGAGGACAGAATTTATGTAATAATTGTTTTTGGAATGCCCATCAGTTAGGAAAATCACAAAAGGCGAAGAGTTAAAGGAGCGGCAGGTGCATAGAAGCCACGACCTGGTGCCGAGCTTACCGTCTCGGCTGCTGCTTATAGCCAATCCGAAGTTCAGAAAAGACTGCATAAACAGTTCCCATGGAGTTATCGTATAAACACAGTGTCGATTGCTTTAACCCCTCTTCTTGCTTTTCTTGATTGGCTGTGGGAGTTTTCCACTTTTCTCTCCGCGCCACCGCCTGAGGACGGAGCCCAAGTAGCCCCCCTCGGGGGCGGCCATCCAGGCAACGCACGCCGCCCTGAAGAAGTCCGTCACGTACCCCGACACTCGATACCAGAAGTGGTAATCGTCGGAACCCAGAGGATACTCGTTTGAGTAGGAAGTGGTGGTCCAGACAACGACCTCTGAGACGAACTCTATCGCTCCGGTCATAAGCAGCATTTTAATGTATAACTTTACTCTGAAACAAAAGTGATGGTTAAAATTAACAAAAGTCTATATTTACTTTGACATAATTAATTTAAATAAGGTATTTAAGCAACACTTAGGCTACAGAAACTGACAGCAGTATTTGGACCACATTTGATTTGATTTATTGATGTTAGTGATTCCGCGCGCGTCAACTGATGTCGTTAGTCCCGTAAGCGTAGTTCATGTTTTCCTCGGAATGTGTCGCCAGTCTTCCTCGCGGGATGGTAAGACCTACTGTCGGCTAGTGGTGTTTTCCCCACCAGCGTATCTCCCACCAGCGGGGCACCGCCCCAGCCGCGACGAGCTCTAACTTCCCCGCCGGTCTTCTAGCACGTGTGGTAAAGTCGTGTGTGTGTGTGTGTGTGTGTGCGTAAGTAAGAGATGAGGATAGGTAGAGGTAGGAAAGATCGCGCGCGGTCCGTGGCCCGTTTGTTAGGGTACTGCTCCGACATTCGCCAGGATTGATCGGAGAAACCATGGGAAACTATTCATGGGTACCGATCAGAGCAGCCGGCCGCTAGAATTGTCCTCCAGAAAGCGACTGAATTCGACCTAGCTATTGTGTAAAATCTTGTCATCATTCGGAGTGGATGCCTATTACCTCCCGGACAGAGGTACTGCAGTGACACCAGACGATGCCCTGAGCCACCTCTTCCCGTACCTGTTTTTGAGCATCGGCGCATGCGCAACTCAAACTGCGCGTTCGCAACTCAAATGCGCATGCGCAACTCAAACTGCGCATGCGCAACTCAAACCGCGCATGCGCAACTCAAACTGCGCGTTCGCAACTCAAATGCGCATGCGCAACTCAAACTGCTCATGCGCAACTCAAACTGCGCATGCGCAACTCAAACTGCGCATGCGCAGGAGGTCGATATTGCCGTCAATTGCTGTACGCTACGTCGTGTCATGATGGAAAGATGAGCTATTGCGCATCGTATCCCACTTCAGCCAATGAGCTTCAGGTACCAGTTTGCGTCACAATATTTGCGGGTGTTTTAAATGCCGCCAGATACCAAAATTAGCACCTAGTAATTTAACAAATATATAAAAAGCATTTTAAAAAAAATTTTCATCTTTTATTTTCATTACTCTTTATCGTGGTATTTTTGGTTAGTCACCATTGGAAATTATCACTTCATGCCACTTCCAAAATATTCTAGCACTCCATGCAACATGGCCGCCAACGTCTGGACTGGCTTTCTGAAAGGAAGTGCTCTTGTGGTCACGTGACGCAATATAGTGCTGCGCAGAATGAGCAAAACTCGGTGCGATGGACCAACACCACCTAGATATAGGATATCTAGGGTGCGTTGACAGGACCAATGGATTTCCATAACTCACCCACGGCTTTCCACTACGCGCCGTGCATGAAGTCGATAATAAAGACCACCGATTTCAATGAGCCCTAACAGACTAAACGGTAAGCAAAAGCTCTCGAGAATAGCGCTTCGGTACGATACTAATGGCGAAATAGCATCTTCTAGTTGCGCCGCGATGTCCACAACGACGCGTTGGCAAAGATCCATGTTCAAAATTAAAACATCGATATTAATGTATTCTTGGCTATCCGGGATGGGCCGCGTCTCGGTCAATGTTACTGACGTTTCGGCCATCTTGCTGTGGCCTTCTTCATAGCTATACTGCTGCCAAGAGGTTGGCGTTTCTCATCTTATAGGAAAGGCGCGCCAGTAACATTGACTGAGGCTCGGCTCATCCCGAATAGCCAAGAATGCATTGACTCCGGCCGCGAAAGCCTACGAACCCATCAATATTAATAATACATCGACCAAAAAAGATGGATGCTTTTAAAGATCGATATTTTAAAGCTGGTTAAGTAACCTGTAACATTGAATTTATTTTGACCGTGGCAATGTTTATTAATGTTTAATTAATATTTAACTGAAACAGCAAAAAATAATGAAACAAACTAAGCCTGATCACAGAGTGTCATCTCGAAGGGCTAGTCCTAAGTTCATGGAAAAGAGCACGGAAAAGGCGATGTCCTACCCTCGGCGTTTGCGTCGACCGCCTCTCCATGTAGCCCAATCAAATTCGTATTGTTCGATTTAATTTGTACGTTGCCAGAGGACACAATTCTTTAATAAATAATTGTACTTGATCCTTATAAAATAAACTATGGATTATCAGTTTTGGTAACCTTGGACCCCATTGACCACGGATACAAGTCTATACAAATTATGATTCGTAAAGATGTAGAATTTTCTATTTTTGGGGCAAAATGCAAATACATATTTTTGACAAATATTGAACTAGAACTACGTCCTTGTATTGAAGTTACTGTTATATCATTTTTATATAAGATAACTAAAATGTACGAGACCGGGAGAACTGCGACGGAAGAATAGTAATCGATATGATGAGTAACAAATGTGTATAGAATGTTACTAAAATTACGGAGATTCTGGTTGAGATTGCAAATATCCGTTCGATTATGCAATTTGTGCATAAGGAAGTGACGAGGGCCGAAAATAATAATAAGAAACTGTGTATTTGCTTATGTAAAGTGGTAATGACTGTTGAATATCAAATATTATAATGCAAGTTATTTGAGCGTAATTGATTTCATTGTATCACACCTAGGGATCTCCCTCGCCAGCAATGGGACAGAAACAAACATAGTGGATGGATTTAATGTAAACGACAAACTTTTTTATTGTATCGTGTACAATAAAATATAAAAATATTGTGGCACATGTTGTGTAATTATGATGAATTATTTATTAACTAATCCTTAATTTGAACATTTACTCATCACATTTCATTAGCTGCAATAAAACTTTTGTCGTACAAAATGGTTGCCTCGAAAACTTGTAGTAGTTCGGGTTAGGTCCAATAGATTGCAATACTTGCTATGAATTTCAATCGATAACAGAATAAACGAAATAACTGTTGTTTCGCGTAACAGTTACAAAAAGTAAGAGTTTCGCGTAACAGTAACGTTACGTTAACTGTTTACAAAAAAACAGTTTAGCTGTCCCTAGTCTCTACTACGTCTGATGTTCTAAATGACCACTTACGTTTTCGCATCTACCGCCGCTCGACCGCCGCCTCCATTTCGTCTCCTCGCATCGCCGCCCTCGGCGTCGCCGGCAGCGCAGTCGTTCTCCGCTGCGAGTCGATTCCTCTGCTCCTCTCGGCGCAGAACCGAATTCCCGCGCGTGAGGTACTGCACTTTCTTCAGCGTGAGCGCGAGGCAGACGACGTTACACAGCACCAGGCACACCGCCGGGCCGTAGTAGAAGAGCGCCGTTCCACTTTTCACAGAAAAAGATCCTGTTTCCGACACTGCAACGCAAGAGGACACAACTAAAGTTTTAATTTATTATCGTACGAATTTGAAGGATAGTTTTTAACTAGTGGTGCCAAAACGACACGTACTTTATACCCTTCCGAAATTGTTACGTAATCACTATTTTCAAATTTCGAAATGGTTATATAAGCGCAATTTCTCTCGGAATTAACACGCTTCAGACAAAATTATTCACGAAAAATTACGAGAAAAGTACTCAAATTTTCGAAACATTTTTCTTAACCTTATTTCAAAATCTATCTTTAAAATCGCATTTTATTAAGGGTAAATCTCTATCTTTAATATTTTAGTGGTAGGAAAACGCCGATTTTTTTAAAAAATTTTTGCAATCAAAAAATTACTGTTTTCAACAAAAGACCTGCGTCATTCTCTTAAACGTCCTTCACACTACTACTACAGCAAAATTTAATAAAAAAACTATGGACACATTTTTTAAAATTGAAAATGTTCCAAGGCCTTCTTGTAAAGTATCTCCTAAAAATAAAATATCGGTTTCAAATTCAAGGGACCGCGATATCAGCCAGATCGGTTGGAGAGTATCAATTTTCGAGAAAATTGGCTGAACGTTTAGCCGCTAGCATTTTTCACAGACAAACGGACAAACGGACGGACAGACAGACGTTTAGCCGTCGTTGGATTTTTCGGTATCAAAGACCCACAAAACATGGATTCGGGCTACACCACCAAATAGAGGATCCCCCCCTTAATTAAGCAACTGAATTTATGCACGTTTCGTAACCAGGACCCTATAATAAGAGTTTTCTGACGAAAGTTCGCCGTGTTTTCGCGCAGCAACACATAACTTTCTCTCTACTTCGTAAGCGGTAGCGAGAAAGGAAAAATATTGAGGTTATGTGTTCAGTGTGCGTTAAATATGTGTAATGTGTATTCAGTGTGCGTTAAATATGTGTAATGTGTATTTTTCCTCATTTTTCTTTTGCTTGTGTTAGTTGTGCATTAACACCTATAATCTCATCATGATGAAAAACATACGATGTAAACATTAAGCTAATTAACAACCCTATCCGGAGAATTTTCCGCAGGGAACAGGATAAAACGTTTGCGATAGATTTTCAAATGCGATGAAACGAATATGACTAATGAAACCTGGCCAAGGTATTATTTTGCCTCCAAAAATATGTGATACAACAGCATATACCTTCTCGCGTTTTTGAAAATAGTTACGTAATATTGGAATATATAATATTTTTTTAACATGACTATTAAACCTCTTCTCCCTTCTGAATGTCTCTTTATTAATTTAATAAAAATAGTTCATTTATTCTGTAATTGTAGTTGTTAAGATTGTATTCGTTACGTCACGTTTCGGCTACCTCTGTTAGCCATCATTAAACATGTTACGCAATGAATTGTTACAGTACATGTTTTTACACATATTATTATGCATTAAAAGTTGATATAAGCTTATCTTTAGTAATAATGTCACAATCTTGACCTTAACCTACTATTTACATATATATATATATATATATATATATATATATATATATATATATATATATATATACACACACACACCGTGTTGCATCGACGGTCCCGTCGCCTCCAGAGGAAGCAGGTGGTTTTTTAAAACATCAAGGGATAGCGTTGACCGTGCACTTGTTTCCAAGGCCTGGCATTGCGATGTGTAATACTATTTTGTAAAGTGGTTCTCTGATATTAAAATTTTAGATGTGCAAAAAGAATTTATAACGATTATCTTCCTATGCTGCGCCAAATTCCTGGAGACCCATTCACGAAAATGTACCTGTCCCTTGCATAATTATTGCGTGAAAGTACCGTTCCCAGTACGTCTATTATTATCGTTTATATAGTACCTTATTATATATATAATTATATATATATATATATATATATATTATGTAATCATAATCATTAGTAACTATTTACAAAAATTCTTCAGCGACGTGTTCGACGCGCTCTCTCATCATTTGTGCAAATGCGTTGAGCGTTATGAATATTCTTTGATCGGTTGTAATCGTTAATTTGAAATAGTTGAAAGAAAGGGAGATATGCGTTGAAGGAATAATTTCGAAATTTATATGGTTTAATAGTTTAAACGTAAGAGTAGATGGCCGTAATTATTGGTAAATGTATTAGACTCTATCAACAGTATTCACTGTGTTGTTAAGTTTTATGTGCAACGTTTCTGAGATAATTCTTGCTCCTTTACGCGGTTCTTAATCGAGATTTTCTACTTTATTAAAATCCATTATATGTGCAGCATCGATTTGGTGTTTCAATACAGAGTTTAATTTCTGAAAAGGTTCTTTTATATTGCTTTGATACTCGGTTACTATTTGCTTTAATGTTTTCAACGTCTGCACCAATATATGACTAAGGATATTGGGTGCAATTAATTTTGTAAAACATTTCATTTTTCCATTTTTTTCAATATGTATTTGTTCTATAATATAAGGGAACCCGTTTTATTGAAATCATGGTTTTTGTATAGCATAAATTTAGTTCTAATTATACTAAAATCTCTATTTAAACTTAAAAACTTATATTTTTAATTTTGAAATTCTTTTTATTCTGACCAATCATTTATGTTTGTAATAATTAAAAATATATTAGACATATGTGTAAAGTGCTTGATACAAATATTGTATTAATAAACAAGTATCTTACCAACTATGAGGTACCCTCATAACGTCTAAACAGTTCGTGGGATCAAAATGCAGTTTTCGCTCTAATGCACAATCACGAGGAATGTAATATGCTGTAGAGATATTGATTGAAATAATTTGAATTTCTCGAAAACTAAATCTTTGATTTTTTAATGAAACGAAATATTTATCAAGTAGAATTAAATACTTTTCTAACTTGCAAGGTTCATAAATACAATCAATTCATTAATTATTTCACTTACAGTTGTTTCTAAATATTATTAGTTTTTGCTTAGTTTTGAATTACTTCATTTTATTTTTTCGGTTAATGGTTGAACTGTTTTTTGGATCGAAGGAAAATATTAGAATATTATGAAACCTTTACCAATAAATCGATGACGTTTGTCGTATTAGGCGCCACTAGTTTTTATTTGGTGCCCTCGGTGTCTCGTTGGTTAGCGTGCTCGCTTTCCACAGCGCAACCCCGAGTTTGATTTCCGGCCGGGGCAAAATTACAACTGCGCTTACCTTACAAATGCCCCAGTATCTTTTGCCGTGTGACCATAATAAAGCCCACCCTAAGGTTCAGAAAACCAGTATATACGGTGAAGGGTTGTCTTCGTGCTACCCACACGAACGCCTTATCCCATGTCCGAGAGGCCAAACTACCGCTGGTCGGCCAAGGCCTGCATTGGGCTGTCGCGCCAAAGGACAGCACAGTTTTTATTTACCACTGAACGTCCCGACGACCGGTTCGGTGTAGCATACTCGGGTCTCCATAAGTGTCGGTTTGATCCAGGATATATCGCTCTTCGCGTGAATGACACCTCGTGAAGTAAACGAGAAGGAACAGGTGACTGTCAGCATCAAGGGAAAGCCCCACGCGAAGGCAGATAGTGCGAGGAATTTCTTTCTTTCACTCCTCTTGTGAAGGGCCGCCTGTAATCTGGGGAAGAAATAAAACGAAAAAATAATAGCACAGACACACAAAATAAAAAAAAGTTTACAGACTTCAAGATTTGACACATGTTTCTCTATGTAAAAGGTGTGGCTATTAATTTCCAGGACTGCTCCAATAACACTAGAACAGATGATGTGAAAAACGTAACCTTTTAATACGTTTCGATGTAATCCCCATCTGCCGTAATACACTTCTGTGCTCGGCTGTATAAGTTGTGGAAACAACTTTTAAAGTCCTCTTTCGGAAGGCTCTTCAATGTCGACGTCACGTCCTTCTCGGTGTCTTCATCAACCACAAAGCGTGTTTCTTTGATCACAGTTTTGACTCTGGGAAACAGAAAGAAGTCTGCGTCCGTTTTCCACAGAATGGGAGTTGGCTTCTCTTGCGTGACAAACGCCCGCCCCCAGTGAAGAGGTTTCTGGCCAAGACGAGATCGTGGAGCAGCTTCATCCACCATGCTCTCCCGACTTGGCCCCCGCAGACTTCGTTCTGTTTCCCAGATTCTTCCTTCGCTCAATAGATATCTATATTATGTAGCATATTATTTTACTAGCTTTACTAGATTACTATGTTTATGTGTAGTAGATAAATTGATGGATTATTTGAAGTGCGTAGTTGGTTATGCGCTTTTTATAAAGTCTCTCTCTCTCTCTCTCTCTCTCTCTCTATATATATATATATATATATATATCATATATATATATATATTGTAATTATATATATATATATATACTTTATAAAAAAATAGCATATAATTGGAATAACATGTGCATATAAACGTTTTAGAATATCTACAATATTTTAGGCTAAGGGCATTATTCAAGACGATTTAGTTTCACCATGATAATATTTCTTAAATTGTCAAAATAATCATGATTGTGAATATCAATATAATGTGTGTATATATGTGTGTATATATATATATATATATATATATATATATATATATAATTTTTGTTTAATGGCTGTATATATTTCTGAGAATAAATAAATAAATAAAATAAAATGGTCGACAAGCTCATGTGACAATTCAACGCAATCTACTCTTAGTCACACTAAAGTATAGATAGCGTTGGTCATGTACGTGTATGCACATGGTTATTGGGAGAAATAAAACGAGATAATATCCTTCATTCACTGCGTAATGTCCCCGAAGTTCAGTTGAGCAGATTATCCCAACGTTTTTCTTATACATTCCCTCACAATACCTAGAAATTGGAGTTGAGTCTCCTTCTTACAGTCTTCATGGTAGCCACTATGTGAGAAGTGTTACTTGCGTGTATAGGGGGTATGAAGACTATGCTACTATTTTTTTGCCACTTATCTCTGGCAAGTAAAAATTAGAGACCAAATCTACAGGTATTTTAGGACGTCTCATCTAACTTAATCGCTCATTCCTGTCTATTTTACACACCGTCTCATTCCACATTCTTTCTCATATCGTATGTAATACCTTATCCTAATTTAAGTTCCTTTTAAACCTCTAACGAAATTCAGTTTTAAAAATACTTTTATATTTGTGTATTTATTTTTCTCGATATAGCGTGGATCTTCGCGGTTTTAATACTCTTACAACTAAAAATATCTATGGTCATATATCCCTTCCCCATATTTTTTCATAGTAAGAGAAATCTAAAAGTAAATGGTAAACAAAAAGCAATGTATTTTCATGGAATGAACATTCTTACCTGAAACCACTAGCCATATTCAGACAGAGTGCAGTGAGCCAGAACCAGGCAGCAGTCAGCAGAAAATACATCGAGAGAGCTGCAGATTTATAATTACGATCATTAATTTGTTTCATTAAAGCACAACATTTCTTTTAAAAAGTTATATTTAAAAAAAAGGAGCTTTACCTAAACTCTCATCGTTCCATTCTTCTAATGGAACAATGCAAGTTTAAGTAAGCCTCCTTTTCCGTCCAATGATTTTCAGACATCAGTGCTACAAGTCAAACGGTTATAACAAACAAAACACAGAATGAACGATCGAATACAATTTATAAAGTGGTTAAACTAGTCAGAAAACTAGTCCATTCTCTTACTACTGACTTTCTTAATCTCTTAGTATTGGCTAGATTTCCAGTTTTGACCTACCCTCAGCCCAGATGCAACATAACGGGACATATAAAATATTTTTCCCATTTTTTTCCTCCCATTAAATAGTCCAATAAAAATATGACTTTAAAAATATATAGAAGAGGGGAGCTGGTCCTGTATGCACAATTGCAATAAAAATTGAAGCTCTTTTGAGAAAAGTTCGTTCGAGCGCTCCTAATTATATCCAATTTTAAGGGCCAGACCGATCAAGGAATATTTATTTTGGAAATAATCCTAGGAGTTTCTTATCCAATTTGCACGTCTGTTGTTCACAGACGGTTGGACGTTGAAAAAAAAAATAGTGGTGCTAGAACAGCATAAACTTTATCCCTTTCTTCTAAATGTTGCAAATGCCAAAAATTCAAGGGGTTCAATGAAACTTTAAACCTGCCTCAATCTTTGAAGACCCTTCTAACCGTGGGGGAAAATTTAAAAATTCGAGCGGTGTTTGAAAAAAATGATTTTTTTTATAATTTGAGTAGAAAAAATGGGAACGAACTGCTTTTTTCGAAAAATATATATCACATTTTTTAAAAGATTATGATTAGATTAGATTATATTAATAATTATTCGATCAGATTTTGTTTCCTAAAAACACTGTTTACCTTCAAATTTGTAGTTTTGAAACGTTATTTTTTTTGCAATTTTCGAAATTACATAGTTTTACAGGAATGAGGACTCTAGGAAATAGTGCCAATTATTTTACTGTCCTTTAATATAAACGAGAAGAAAATTTAAACAAAAAAACGGGGCCGTTTTGGATAAGACAATGTCAAAATTTCACGTAAAATTACCAGAAACTGCATATATTTTCAAAGAATTGTAATGAGCTTGTTTCAAGATGTTTTCCTTTCAACAACAGATTTCGTTAAGAAAAAAATCGCTATTTGCAATATTGTAGTTGAGAGTAGATATTTAATCAAAAATGAGACATGCGCCATTTTTTAAGCGTTGAGGACAAAGTTTGGTCAGGGGAGGTAGCTGTCTCAAAGGAAGAGATTAATAAAATATTTCGAAAATTGTCGTTGAGACGTCTGTTTGGTTATTAGTTTTCCGGACGCGTCAACTATTGAGATCATTGGTCCCGTAGGTGTAGTGCATGTGTTTTGCTCAAGAGGTGGTGGCGATCCGCCCTTGCTGGATCCGGCGCCGACATACCTTGGGTTGGCGAAGTCTTCCCTAGCCAGGTATCTCCCACCAGCTGGGCATCGCCCCAGCCGGGACACGCTCTAAGCTCCCGACCATTCTCCCGGCATCTGATGTAGTGTAGTGCATGTGAGTGTGAGTATAAGTGGCGAAGATAGGACAATGAATAGGAAAGAAAGATCGCGCGCGGTTACGTAGCACGTTTGTTAGGGTTCTGCTCCGGCATTCACCTGGGGCACTGTCCACTGGATGAAGAGATCGGGCGCGGACCTACCGTCGGCCAGCGGTGTTTTCCACATGCAGGTATCTCCCACCAGCGGGGCACCGCCCCAGCCGGATCAAGCTCTAAGCTCCCGAGTGGTCTCCAGGCATTATTGGCAGTGCAGTTCATGTAAGTGTGGGTGTAAGGGCTGAGGATAGGACAAGGATGAGGAGGCTTAGATAGTGCGCGGTCCGTGGCCCATTTGGTAGGGTTCTGTTCCGACATTCGCCTGGTGTTGATCGAAAAACCACGGAAACTACCGATCAGAGCAGCCGGCCGCTAGAATTCTCCTCCAGACAGCGACTGAATTCGACCTCGTGTCCAAAATCTTGCCATTGTCGGGTCTCGAACCTAGGACCTCCCGGACATTAGTTGATGCCCTCAGCCACCTCTTCCGATTTGATGATTCATGTAAAGCGCACCCCCTCCATATTCATATATCCGTTTCAAACTCAGGAGGGCCCCGAGTTCCTTTAAATCATTCGAGAATAATCTATTTAGGAGGGAATTGCCTGAACGTTTTAGGCGCTACCCTCGGCCATTGAATGATGGACGGAAGATTTCCCAAGAGTATTTCTGTCGAATATTCGCCGTTTTCCGACTCACGATTACAACACTTTCTCTACTGATCAACTAAGGGCAAGAATTTATAAAACACATTTTCGCTAAGAGTGGACCCCAACACTTGTATTTCGAAATTTCGAAATCGATTTTTAGCAGCATTACATAACTTTCCCTGCATTACACCACATGGACGTACGTACACCAGAATGAAACAAATATACATCTGGGAGTATAGAAATCGTCAAAATATAATATCAAAGCAACTTTATACAAAGTAAACCTTCCTTTTTGAACACAGTGGCGATCGGAGGGTAGCGAATTAGAAGGACCAGCATGTATGTTCGAACAATCACATACATGTTACCTCTTCAAAATGTTTCTTGAAGAAGGAACACTATGGCATGTAGAGCACAACCAATTGACACGTATCGGGATTTGAATCCTTGCCTAAGACAACTTTTACGCTGATAACTAAAGACATATTTGTGTTAAAGCGAAAATAAGAGATTAAAAATATTTCCAGGAAACAAAACTAATTTATACAATCAGATGAAAGGGGTGGTATCCTTAGCTTAGATAATAACTGCGGTTTTACCGAACAAACCCCTAATAGTGTGGCGTCTTTGCCGGGGCAATAAATCACAGACGTGAACGGTTTGCAAATTATTAAGTATTGATTTGAAACAATGCACCAACACCTGAATACTATTTACAATATTTACAATAAACAATACTGACCCGATACTAGAAGGCCTGATAATGAGATATCACATTCGGTGTGGTGCACCAGTAGCCTACATGAGCATACAAGCGAGTATACCGCATCTCCCGTCTCGACGTAGCACGCCGGCTTCAGTTCCCTGCCTCAGTTGCCGATGCATTAAAATGCCGCGCCGCCCACAACCCACACGACTTCCTACCGACGCGCCCAAGATTCAGAAGGAGTTTAGGTCCGGGGTCCGTTTATCTACCTTCTGGGCCGGCTGACGAAACTGCGTCATCTCGCTGTTTCCGCCAACGCGTTTCCGCCGCCGGCCTGCCTACGGGGTTCCCAAGTTTGCCACCCACGACACGGCACCCCTTCCCTTCCGCTCCCTAGGTTTGCCTTTGTTGAGCCCAGCGTCTCTTCCGCCAACGCTGTCCATGAGCGTGAAATGCATGTGGCCGATTTTGGTACGTTTGTACAAGGCGACTGTTATGACGCCACAAAAGGAACACACTGCCCCCACCCAACTCCCACTACCCCCCACTCTTCCACACCCCCGCAAGCTTCCACTACCACGCGTGCACCAAATACGGATGGTCTTCCGATAATCCACGATGCAACCCATTCCAAAAACATTTATCTTTCGCATAATCGGGCACTAAATTCGCCCTAACAAATTGCGCTTGAGGTAAACACAAATTAAAGGAGACGATTTATTGTTAATTTGAATACTTTCTGCACCTTTTCCCAAAGTTGGTTTTTCTGAAGAGGGCGCCGCCCTTAGAGCCCTTAAGGACCAGCCGCCACTGATTGAACATAAAGAGTAGTTAAAGTAAACGTTAAGGTAACGACGCCAAGGAAAGCCCGCAGAGTTTTAGAGGTTCGGATTTCTACAGTTCACGGAAAATGCGTTTAAAAGATAATGCAGACATAAAAGTATTTATTTAGAATATTTGCATTCTCAGTATTTGACCATAGAAGATAGTACCGCATAATTCATCATTTCTTCAACGTATTGAGACATTTCGGCAGTCTGACCGGAGGAGAAAAGAGGTGTACTTTATGCTTACTCTGGTCTTGTGTTCGAATCCCGCAGGAGTGACAGGATTTTCGACACTAGCTAAATAGTGGAATCGACTTATACCCACGCCTGGAAGAGAATTCTAGCGGCCGGCTGCTCTGGTCGGTAGTTTTCAGTGGTTTCTCCGATCAACACCATGCGAATGCCGGGGCAGTACCTTAACAAACGGGCCACGGACCGCGCGCGATCTTTCCTTCCTATTCCTTGTCCTATCTTCACTTACACAGAGACTACACTACCACACATGTCGGGAGACCAGTCGGGAACTTAGAGCTTGTCCCGACTGACGCGGAGTCCCACTGTAGGAGATACCTGCGGAAATAAATTCAGCGTAAATCGTCGTATACGTTGGCGCGGAATCTCTTGATTCAGCAGGAGAAAAACACTTTCAGGCCTCGCCTCCAGGGATAAAAAATATGTGCCGGACTTACGGGACCAATAAGATAATTTTGAACCGGAGTACTACTACTTAGGAAATCACGTGATATACTACCTATATCTCTGTATTTTGGAAGAAAGAAATTACAGCGTATCATGTAACTTCGGAAGATTCAGAAATGAAGACAAAAATTTGATTTCATGCTAATTTAAGCAATTCACGTATGAGGAAAACGAATAATTTCATGTAAATGAACGATGATCTTGAGACTTTCTTTAACATCAAAAACTGAAATTAAATCAGTCGAAGTAAAATCGTTGATAGGAAGTTTCGAGTTTTTAGTTTGCGATTTAAAATGTGCTATGTAATTAATCTCTTAAATACTTGGGATAAGGAGAAAGATTTCTAATTTACGAATAAAACTGGAACTTCACGTTCGGTTTGGAATGTTATAGTGAAAAGTTTGAAACGAAAAAGTGTAACTAGATCGCTTGATTTACGAAAATATGCATATCATGAAATTTCACAAGCTTTCATACTCTGTGCCTTCTCGCCAATCGGAGAGTCCTGGTGGCGAACGAAAGAGCAATTTCTTAGTACGCACCCAATCAAAGACACTGCAGATGTTCTTCACTTCAGTTTGTTTAAATTACGTACCAAGATGTCTGCACATTTTCCAAACAGCAGGTTTTATTTTGCGCCGGGCGTCAATAGTGTCACTGATGGCCAAGAAGTACACCACCTGGCCCACATTGAAGGCTAGCAGACACGACGCGTGGAGTGCCAGGCACCATCCGTGCGCCTTCTGTCGCATGCTCCGGTCGCATGCGATGGAGCACAACGAACAGGCCAGTAGCAGAACCGAGACCACGCTAAGCGGTCGCAGCAGCCAGTACAGGCCTCGCGCCACCCGCGGATACTCGCAGTAGAACAGTCCTTCCTGCAAGGTGCCGTTGCTGCGGTAGAAGTCGAAGCACGGCTTCCAGTTGGAGAAGAGGTTCACCCTGTAGGCGGAGCGCGCCCATGGGGCTGCGCGGTCTTCGGGGGCCCCCAGTCGGAGGGTAGGGCAGCTGAGCGGCTCGCTCTGGGGAAACTCAGAGTCAATGTCCTGTGCGAAAGAGGCGTTCTGCGCATCCCAGTCGCTCAGACCACCCTCCTCACACTCCCAGTTGCCTTGCTGACTCGCCAGCACTTGTCCGCGCTCGCAGCACTTGGTGGCGCATTCATCGAGAGAGCATGACGGCCTCCACGTGATTACGAAGGCCTCCTGAGGCGGTAATGCCGCGTCGATGCAGTAGTAAAAGGCTAGTCGGTACCCTCCTCCTGGCTTGGGCCTCACTATGGTCTCTTGTAGGAAGACCGCGCGATTTCTCAACATGTCTGCGTCGAGAGGCCTCCTTTTATCCCACACAGACGATGTGTTTACAGGAAAATTATACAAATTTATTGGCGAACTACGAAGTTCAACTTTGCCGATGCTTTGCCTTGTTACGCCGGGGGGGAGCCAGAACCGCAGCCACTCTTCGTCCAGCGGTGGAAGTATTGTGTAATAACTGCGATGTAAGGACACATTTCGAGGCCAATCAGTTGGCACACACGTTCTCAAGTCTCCGGAGAGCATCTTGAACTCAGAGCAGCACTTCTTAACGGTTACACTTGCTTTGATAGTACCCACGCTGACCGCTAGGAGCGCCACCAGAGTCAGGTCTAAGAGCGTACACATAGTAGGCGAAAGAGAGTGTACAAAGGCACGGGACACTGGCAGAAAAAGGCCCCCTCTTCCTTACGCTTGCGTTTTGCTTGAGAAAAACAAAACTTACCGCGGTTGAGCAACGCGCAGACACAGTTCTCAGTAAGCGAATCTGAGTTTGTATATCCGAATATCTCACAAATACTTTGCGCTTCTGGCACACGAGTGAAGCGAGGGCCAGGACTAGGAACAGTTGAGCGACGTGAGTGCAAAGACTGACTGGCAGTCATGTCCTGGATTATGGCTTCCTTCCTTCACGGTATCTAGAGTTGAAGCGGGTAAACCCAACTTTCCTGCTTAATTCCGCTTTCTCAGGATGGGGAATATAGCTTTATGAAACATCACATCCAGTCAGTTGCTGCTTTAAACTGGTTAAAAGAAGCAAGTTAAGTTACCATACCTTTTGATCAGAAAAATAACTCTTTATATCTCTTTATATCCTCTTTCGTCCATTTCCTGATGAAGCATTTCTCTGTATCATCCAGTTTATAAAAACTGTCGATCTAAACCCAAAATATCCATTATTCACCACTTTATTAATTTATCCTAATGTAAAACGGCGGATCGTTCACAATATGAAATAACAGTACACTTTTTAAGAATAGATTGAACGAAATTTAACATAGAGATAACACAATTTAGAAGCCATATGCTTACGTAGCACCCAAATTTTGCGTTTTTCTTGCTCTTCTCTCTAAACCGGAAACAAAGTTATGAAACGACATAATAGGGTCATAGGAGTAAAAATATATTTGCTTTTTACTGAAACATTGTTTGATAGTGTCTTCCATATGGTACTCGATATTTACTGCATAACGTACCTAGATTGAGAGGATCGTGGTAACGAGGAAAGTTTGAAAGCAGTTGAATGATGCTACATGCTCTTATAGAGGGAATTATTAGTCGGAATTATGAAAAGACAAACCGAGTCACGTTAACATCTAGTTAATTAGTAAATAAATAAAACTAAATCATTGAAATTGGGTAAAAAATCAAACTACGGACTTTAACTGGTTTTAATGATCTCAGGCAACAGAAAACCCTAAGTTCTTTGACCAGAGAGCTTTTTCTTGCGATTGATGATTAGAACCCTTATAAAAACCTTGGTGCATAAATAACTACGTACTGTTTACTTATAACCGCGAAATGCTGGATTATTTTTTCTTTGAAAACACTTGTAAACGATGTTTGTTTCTTTGAAAACTATTGTAAAAGATAGGGGAACCAATGTTTATCATATAATTCAACATTAACTACTATAAATAAATATACATTTTTGTTAAAAACTTCTGAATTATACTACATTTAGCTTAAAAGACATTTTACTTTGTGTTATTTTATATTTCATGTAATACAGCAATTTACTTGGTGGGGATACTTCCGGAATTGAGTGCGCAAAACGATGAGCATATAATTGAACTACATCAGCACATACTATCTCGTATTTTTGGTAACGATTTCAAAATATTACAACATTACCAACTTTCACTTAACTAACACTTCACTCCACACCTGAAAATCAAAATGTCTGTGCGACAGGTTTAAAAAATACGAAAATTTCTTTCTGTCATTGAATTCATTGCATTAAACTCTATTCTTTCAAAAATTTGAGTAAAAAAACTAGTGGTGTGAGATTACATAATGTTACAGTATTACATCATCTACCCTTTTAACTCTATAATACTCGAACCATCACTTCTCCGCTCCAAGCCAAAAGTAAGGGCGAGAAAATCTGACAAATTATATCTTTATTAATTGAAAAGTTTGAATTAAAATGGCTTTATACCATTGAGTTCACCAGCAAGGTACAAATTGTCAAACACCAAGGGCCAAGGCGAGGAAACACAGCTAGCGGGCAGGTGTCAAGTTAATCCAACTCTAAATGCCAAATACATTATTATTATTATTATTTTGTTTATTCTCAAAGTTTTTGGTTTCACATGGATACCACACAGATACAA